CACATGTTAGTGATTAGGTAATAAAATGGATCCACACTGCCTGCATAAACATTTTTGAAAAGAAAAGATACCGAAAGGGCGTTAGACTAGATCTAGCGTAATCAAGTCCCAGAGCTTAGAATCTCTGGTTTGTAGGAATAAAACATATCTCCCTATGTTTTATTTAGGTTTCTAATCGACCTACCACAAATAGATTAGTGGCGACTCCAAGCATGAAAACTTTTGCATGTGAAAAACTTAAACCCTAAGTTGCGAATTGGTAGGGCTTGGGAGGGCCCGAGTTAGGCTTAGTCCTAATAATCCATTAGCCTGAGAAAATTTAGGTCGCGACACCTGTTAAGCAACCAAACTTACATGCGCCGCTTGGTCGATCGAGATAATTGAAAATAGAGAATGATTTGCAATTAAGATCAATGGAACCCTCATCATTTCTTCCTGCTCTCCGCCTCTTGCACTGCACGTGCGGCTCAAAATAGTATGATGCAAATGTTGTCACTTCTTTCACAATATATGCATTACAAATTGAAGCTTCAACACATGTTTTATTCTTCACTTTTTTCTTCAAATGATATAAGAATCTAGTTGTAATAGAAAGAAGTTTATCAGAACATAATATATAATAAAGTATTTTGAAATTTATTTTAAAAATTTTTTTACCTCTCAAATGGATACATCCATCGAAATTGGACGGGACCTGCAACTTAGGCCTCATAAGGCAAGTGAACTAAGAGATGCTCCATTGAATCAAAAAATGATGGAGGAAATATCCTTTCTAAGTTGTAAAGAATAATTGGAATGTCTCTCTCTAGTTTCTCCATGTATGATGCTTTTAACACTGTTGAGCAAATATCATGAAGGAAATTACTTAACTCTGCAGTGACGCCCCATACAAAGTTTGGTAGAAGTTCCTTGAAAGTTATTGGAATTAGTCTTTCCATAAATATGTGACAATCATGACTCTTTAATGCTGTCAACTTACATTCGTTCAAATCAATACATCTCCCGATGTTTGAAGCATATCCATCAGGAAACTGCACAGATTTTCAACTATTGACAAACGACTCGTCTCTGCTCCTTATCCAATGTATAAACTGCTTTTGGTTTTGGTCCCTTGCTACTTGCATCCACATCTAGTGTTGGCCAATCACAAATATCTCTCATATCTTTTCTTGCATTCAAGTTGTCTTTTGTTTTTCCAGTGACATCCATCACAGTATTTATGACATTGTCGAAAACATTCTTTTCAATATGCATGACGTCAAGATTATGATGAATAAGATAGGCCTTCAAATATGGTAGATTCCAAAATATACTGCGTTTAGTCCACTTATGTGTACACAATAGTTGTGCCATGAGGGTTTTCAACAACAATTGGAAAGTCCTGCACTCGCTCCCAAATTTGATCACCAGTCAAACTCAATGGTGGAGGTATTTTTTCAATCCTATTCTTGATGAACTCTTTTTTTTATTCCTTTTGAATGTATGATTCGTCGGCAAAAATTGTCCGTGACAGTCAAAATAGCTGGGCTTCTTACCATGTCTTAATCTGAATGACTTCGATCTCTCCAAACATATCGGATATCCTAAGATCCCAACTGTACTCCATCCAGATAACATTCTATAAGTTGGAAAGTCATTTATCGTCCAAAGAAGAGCAGCCTTTATTACAAATATTTGATCAGTAGAAACATCATACGTAACGACACTTTCATCCCATGGCCGTTGTAACTCTTCAATCAATGGTTGCATATAAACATCTATCAACTTTTTCGGATTTTGCGAGCCAGTCACGATCAATGTCAAAAACATGTAAGGTATCTTCATGCACATACCGGATGGAAGATTGTATGGAGTTAAGATAACTGGCCAACATGAATAACTTTTTTCTGATTTCCCAAATGGGGCAAATCCATTGGCACAGAGACTTAACCTGATGTTTCGAGACTCTATCGCAAACTCAGGGTATGTTCTATCATAATGTTTCCATGCCTATGCATCTGAAGGATGACACATTAGACCATATTCTATTTCATGATTTGCATGCCAAGTCATGTGTTCAGCAGTGGCTTGGTACGCATAAAGCTTTTGCAATCTGGGGATTAAGGGCAGATAAACATTTGCTTGCATGGTTTACGCTTCTGATTACGATCCTGCCTCCTGTTAATCTTGTACCTAGGTTGGCTACAGAATTTTCAAGATTCTGCATTTTCATCATCTCTCAAATATAACATACAACCCCTACTACATACTTCAATCCTTTCAACTGGAAGACTTAAGTTATCCACTAACTTCTTCATATCGTAAAAATCACTTGGCATGATGTTATCACGAGGCATTATTTCTCGCATTATTTCAACAAAAGAGTTAAAGCAATTCTCAAACACATTATACTCTGCCTTGATATTTAACAATCTTGCTATCACTGATAACTGAGTGTGGTTGTCACAACTTGCCCATAAAGGTTCATCTGCTGCTTTCAATACTTTCCAGAACTGATTAGATGGAAACGTTTCATTACACACATTCTCATCAAAATCTGTTACTCCTATCTCTTCCAATTATTCAAGTGTAGGAGTAAAACTAGTACTTGCATGGTTCGAATCTGAAATAATATTCTAACCAGCTACATCAATCACCATCCTCTAGTATGGGTTTAATTGGTCATAATAGCTACATTCTTCTCTAACTGAAAATTGGTCACTTATTCGATATCCTTCATCAGATATAAATTGTTCACCATGGCAAGTCCAATTATAGTAGTTCGGAGTAAACCCAAATCTACAAAGATATTCTCTAACTTTATCACACACATGAAATTGACCATTACTGCACTTGTTACACGGACACCGTAACTTATTTCCATCCATTAACTCATATTTACTACTAGCAAAGTCCAAAAATAGTTTTAACCCAGTACAAAACTCATCGGTCAATCATCGACGTCCAGGTAAGTTCTTATTATACATCCAAGCCCTGTCTCTTTGCATAGTGTCTATATAAAAATATAAAAATCTCGTAAAATATTAAAACCATAAAATTTTCTTGATTAAAACCATAAAATTCTAAAAATTAAAATTTTGTTTTTGACGAAACAATTACTTTGAAATTGAAAAAAATGAAAAAATTACCATGTCAAGAAGACTTGCCCAAGTATTTGATTGAAATTTTTGTAGTAGAAAGTGCTCAATTTGATGAGAATTGCAACGTTCACTTTATTTGCAAGATTTTCAAATGGATACGTACCTAAAAAAAATGACTTCAGATTTTTTTTTAAAATATTTTTATTTTCGAAATTTTTTTTTCTAGATATTTTTTGCCGATCGCCGAACCGGCGACCGGCTAAGGCCGGCGAGTTGGACCTTGCCGACCATGGGCAAGTTGGACCTCGCCGGCCATGGGCGAGGTTCAGCGGCCTCACCATGGCCATGGGCGAGGTCACCTCGCTGGCCATGGGCGAGACCGTCGCTCGACCTCGCCGCCCAGATCTGGGCGCCGTTGGACCTCGCCATGAGGTCCAACGGCGGCCATGGCGAGGCCGCCGCTCGACCTCGCCGCCCAGATCTGGGCGCCGTTGGACCTCATGACGAGGTCGAGCGGCGGCCATGGCGAGGCCGCTCAGCCTCGCCCATGGCCGGCGAGGTCTCGCTGGTTTCCGGACAGGCGACTGGCGACGAAGTTCATTGTTATGAAAAAAAAAAGAGAAAAAAAAGTCAATAAAATAAAAAAAATTCGAATCTAGCAATGAATAGTTTTACGACGAACCATCTTCGTCGCCAATTAGCCACGAAATTAGCTACGCCACTTACCGGCAGAAAAGCTTTACCGAGATTGATTTGCGGGCGCAGAGAGGTTTATCAAGAGAAATGAAAGAGGGAGAAGGACGGAGAACTACGAAGAGGGATATGAGGAATTAGCAGGGAGAGAGAGAAATTGGGGGTAGGGGTATATTACAAGTAGCAAGGGGGACAATTAGTGAATTAGCGACGAATTTATTTTCCGTCACAAATTAGCGACGAATTTATTTTTCGTTGCAAATTACGTCTCTAAAATAGCGACGAAAAAAAATAAGTCGCTAACTCCGTTGCTAATTAGCAACGATACCTTTTCGTCGCAAATTCCGTTGCAAATTAGCGACGGATTTTTTTCATCGTAAATTCCGTCACAAATTAGCGACGAATTTTTTTTCGTAGTAAATTCTGTTGCAAATTAGCGACGACATTTTTTTCTGTCGCAAATTAGCAACGGAAAAAAAATTCGTCGCTAATTTGCGAAGAATTTTTTTTCGTGGCAAATTCCGTCGCAAATTAGCGACGATATTTTTTTTCGTCGCAAATTAGCAACGGAAAAAAAATTCGTCGCTAATTCCATCGCAAATTAGCCACAAATTTTTTTTAGTGACAAATTCCATCGCAAATTACCGATGGATTTTTTTCCGTCGGAAATTGGCGACGAATTTTTTTTCGTCGCTAATTTCCGACGAAAAAAAATTCATCACTAATTCCATTGCAAATTAGCGACGAAAAATTATTCGTCACTAATTTTCCGTGGCTAAATCCTTGTTTTATCACATAAGTACAATTGAGTCATAAAACTTTCAAAAAGTGCACTAGAAGTTCTAAAACTTATCACGAAAGTGCAATCAAGTCTTAAAACTTGTCAAATTGATCAAATCAAGTCCATCTGTTGGTTGCACTTTTTAAAAGTTTTAGGATTGGATTACACTTTTGTGATAAGTTTTAGGACTTGATTGACTTTTTGAAAGTTTTAGAACTCGATTGTATTTTCGTGACAAGTTTTAAGACTCGATTGTACTTTTTGAAAATTTTAGAACTCTATTGCACTTTGGTGACAAGTTTTCTCAAAGGTGAGCGCGATGCGGACTTTGCTTTTGTCGGATACATCAAGAAAAAGTTTCGAGGCATCCTTCAATAATTTTATGATTCTTCTCAGTCCTATATTAACTAAAACGACCGAAATATTACACAGTCCAGCATCTTCACTCTCTCTCTCTCTCTCTCTCTCTCTGAAAAAATGGACGAACGCAAGCCTGAAAAAATGGAGGAAGGCGATGACAATAAGTGTCAAAGACAACGGACTGGCATCCCAGTTAACATAGCAGAAAACTGGTTCCGACAATTCCAGTACGACCCCAGCTGCGACTCACCGGGCGAGGTGCGGAACATCCTGCTGATCATTGCTACCCTGATCGCGGCGGTCACGTTCCAGTCAGGCGTGAACCCTCCCGGCGGGATATGGCAAGACAACGACGATGGCCACACAGCTGGCAGAGCGATTTACGCATCTAATCAGATCGCCTTTTATGTGTTCTTGGTCTCCAACACTTTCGCGCTCTCCACTTCTCTACTTGTCATTGTCTGTCTCACTTACAGGTTCCCACTCCACTTCGAGATATGGGTGGCCACGGCCTCGATGATGGTGACCTACGCGTCGGCGATCTTTGCCGTGACGCCACATGACTCGGTGAGGTTCCGCTATGTGCTGATCGCAGGGGCGTTGCCAGTGATATGTCGGTGTGTATTCCAGACGTGTGGGAAGCTCCAGAATAGACGCACGCAGGGACCGGACAGCAAGAGCCAGGAGTGTGGAGCGCCGCCCAATGCCCGGGGGTAACAAAAGGAGACAAGGAGGTGCTCCTGTTTAAAAAGCTATATATCTGTGAGCTCCGTGTTTTTCTCTCCATGCAAGTTTTTACTTAGTTGGATATAAATATGAATTTCATGGACATGTAAACTTAATTAAAATTAATGTGGGTGATGTTCGTATTTGGAATGTACCATTCAGATCTGTTGTATGTTAAATGTATTTGCATTTGTTGTCTTCTTTCTCAACGTGTCCCTCTTAATTTATTCTTCGCCGCGACCCACCACTAAATCTCCATCGCCACCATGATTAGACCGATCTAGGCTGCTCCACCATCTGTTGCCAGGGCTGATGAGGGGGCCACTTGGAGTTCATGCGCCGCTTTGTCTCTCTCTCCCCCCAGCTCCATCTCTTCCGTCAAGCTCTTTGTAATTTCACCATGAGCTCTGTCTCGTGAATCATCGACGGCGACAAGATCCGGGGGAGGTGAAGCCAGCATAAACTTAGCTTGTGTATACCCGAACGAAAGAGCATTCGGAAAAATACCATATACCCTCCCCACTTTTGATCTCAAGAACACTTCACAAAACTCTATTACTCAAAACACCACTTTGCACCCTCAAAACCTCGCGATCGAAAAGACCAAACTGCCCTGGCCTCGAACAGCATCAATACCATCTTCCCAAGTTCTTACTTTTCACGACACCACACGAAGCATCAAAGCAACGTAGAGAACCATCAAAGGTCAACTGAACAAAATCGAAAGATAATCAAAGCAATAACCTCAGATTTTTGCTCGAAATCCAATCGAGTGTTATAATGTGTCTGTTTCGCGAAAAAGTAATAATTTGAAAAACTTTTTTTAAAATTGTTTGTATATATGTTATAATTAATAAAAAAAATATTCTACGTTGACTAATTTTCAAAAAGATACGAACAAGTAAATATCAAATCATGAATTCTTCATGAAATGAATGCACCTTGACAATTGTAGTTTGAATAATCAAAATAAAGTCCTAAACTTTTTCTGTAGATGCTCAATCAAGTCCTCTCATATAAAAATCGACCAAATCCTATATGTGACATACTGCCACTTGGCACTATCACTATTTTTGTGAAATCTAACTAACAAAGTTAGTAAATCGGACTTAGGTTGAATATTTGCTAAAATATTTCAAGATTTAATTGGCTAAATGAAGAGCTCTATTACACTCTTTGCAGATAATTATTCCCAAAAAGTCCATAATCTGTTTTGTCGCTTGCGCGATCGTGAAACACATGGGTGATCTCTTTCCAGCTCATCACGTGCCGTTATATTTGTCGTTATTTAATCGGAACGAATGCTCGCCTCCAAATTCGTTGGGAAATTATATCTGTGTTCCATGGTACAGCGGAAAAGAGTACATTTTATAAATATGTGTGAATTGGCCATAATTGTAGGACGATGGGTCGCATCAGCACTTAGATAGGACAAAATGGATGTCTCTGTTCCTATTCAAGTTGTTTTGGATGGAACCAACTATGTTTTATGGGTTCGACAAATGTCAGGGTTCTTGAAAGAACGTAGGCTCTAACATTGTATTACAGGTGATGTCTGCCTCCCTACAAAGCTTACTGATAAGTGAAGATAAATATGTTCGTTTAGATGAATGGGATAGTAAGAATCATCATAATATAACATGAATTTGAAACACTTCGATTTCATCTATCCGATTTCAGTTTGGTCACTTTAGAACAGCAAAGGAAGTTCGGGATTTCCTTGTCAGTCGTTATTCAACTGCAGATATTGTTCATTAGTATCAGCTATTTGGAAATATGTATCGTATGAGTCAGGAGCCAAGTTAATCCATTAATGGGTTTTTGTCCTCAAAACATACTATTTTGGGATCAATTAGCTTTATCTTAACCACGATCGGCTGTGGATACTAAGGCTCACAAATTTCTTAAGTATCGTAATCGTTTGCGTGTTATGCAATTTCTAATGGTTCTCAAGGATGAGTTTGAGCCTGTACAAGCTTCACTTCTACACATAGATCCATTTCTTGATCTTGAGTCAGTTGTCTCCGAATTATTAATTACGGAGACTCGCCTAACAACTTCTAAGTCATAGCGTCCTAATGTGCCCACCTTTACACCTACAGATGCAGTGCTTGCTGTGCCCGCTTCCTCTTCAACCAATACTGTAAGCATCGACGACGTGGTCATCCAATATCCAATTACTATCAATTACAAGCTAAGCAACTTCTAGGGCCAGACAACCAACCCCAAAATTGCGGTCACCCTACACTATCATTTGCCAGTGTTGCTACCGCATAAGCTTCTTCTAGTGAATCATTAGAGAATCTTCGTTCTATGCTTGAATCCATTCTTCAAGAATCTAGTACCCTTAGTTGTATGTTCAAACACTTCTACTATGTCTATTACTCTAGATGCCTTTACTTCTTGGTTTTTTTATTCCGCTTGCTTCAATAACATGACTTCGAACTCTACTTTGTTTCGATCTAAAACATTCCCTCCACATTGCACCCACTATTCACACAACCACTAATACATAGCTTAGAGCCAGTCATACGAGAGACATATCCACATCCTCATTGTCCTTACCTAACACCATTCTTGTCCTAAATTCTTCAAAAACCTTCATTCTATGCTTGAATTTATTCTTCAAGATTCTGGTACCCTTAGCCCTATGTTTCAAATACTTCTGCTATATCTATCATTCTAGGTACTTTGGCTTCATGGTTTTTTTATTTCGCTTGCTACAATCACATGACTTCGAACTGTGCTTTGTTTCTATCTAAAACATTCACTTCGCGTTGCACCCACTATTCACACAACCGATAACACAGCTTAGCGTCAGTCATACGGGAGACATATACACATCCCCCTTGTCCTTATCTAACACCATTCTTGTTCCTAAACTCTCACTACTGATCTCTATAGGACAATTATATGAACTTGACTTTGATATTCACTTCTCTTCCTATGGTTGTATTGTGCAAGACCCACAGATGAGACAGATTTGTTAGGACTGGCCGTAGGGTGGGACATTTGTTTGAGCTGGTTTCCTTTAACATTCCGCACTCCTTCAACACTAATGCTGCCACATTTTCATCTGCAACTTGACATTCTCATTTAGCAAAACACATAAAGGCTTGAAAGGGTGCGAGGGCGAGCCATTTATCAAAAGCAAGAAAGTAGACTGGGGAGACACGTTGCCAATTGAAGTGGCAACAACGATCGCTTAAAGCCCAACTTACTAAAAACCTCCAAAAGAAACGTTCAGTTTAATCTATCCAAGGCTTTGCTCATTTTCAAGCCTAAATGTAGCAAAAAGCAATGACACTTTTTTTTTTGGCTTTCAAAATTTTTGAACCAGCTCAGGAACTACCAAAGTATTAGAATTACTTTGCCTGACACAACACCTCCTTAACAGCCAGAAATAGGAGAATCTAGGACAAGTTTGAGACGGTTGGCCAAAACTGATAGGTATAAATTAATCCAAAGATGGATTGAGGATTGGGAGCCTTCAGGGAAATTAATGTGTCGTTCGTTTGATGAAGCATGAAATCTGATGGCGAAAGTGATAAGATTCCAACAGTCCAACAATATCGCAATATTTTATATAAAAGATGGTTGGCGCTTCATTAGGTCCTAGGGGCTTTCGATGGAACCAACTGAAAAACATCTTAGACTTCATTTGTCGTAAAGGGTTGGCCAAGAAAATTTTGCTGGTCCTCTGGAGATAGTGACCAATGCTCCGCTAACCTCGGTTAATCTTTAGGAGAAGGAAGAGAAGATTTACTATTGAAGTCTGCGTACTCTCTTCGAAGGGTGAATAGACTTGTAAACATCAAAGGACTTCTCGAGACGGTAGTCTTCCCTGAATGGGATTCAATTCCACCATGTAAGACAACATCCAAATTGATAATTTGAGAGTTCAGTTGCAAGTTGGATCCAGAAATAACAGGAAGTGAGGGTAGAGTAAAGAGAGGTTCTAGCTCTGCAATTTTCGTAAAGAGGCCCAAAGGAAGCCTAGCTTTTTATCCTGGCCTTGGGGAGGCTCAGCTGTAGTTTAGAGACACAAGAAGATGAAAATGGGCCCAAAGTTTTTTCTTTTCCCGTTTCTTTAGCAGAGGCTGTTGGATGTGTGAAGGAAAAATGACACAAAAAGTCCATGAACTTTGATCCAATATACAATGTGAGTCATAATTTTTAGTTTATTCAATGTAGTCCCTGAACTTTAACCCAATATGCAATGTGGTCCTTGAATTTTTAATTTGGTTAACGTGGTTCTTGAACTTTTGGTACATGTTCAATTTAGTTCCTGAATTATATGAAAATATTCAATGTAGTCCTTCTTTTAATTCAAGTTCATGGACTACATAGAATATTTCATATAGTTCAGAGACTAAATTGAACATTTAGCTAAAGTTTAGGGACTACATTGAACAAATTAAAAGTTTATGGACCAAATTGTACATTACGCCAAAGTTCAAGGAATGTTTGTGTCATTATCCCATGTGTGAAAGTAGCATGTTGAGGAGTGATCAAGCTCACTGCAAAAGAAATCTAGTGCGGCATCCAGATGGAGCTGGTCCTGATTGTCTTTAATATGTTTGAAAATATTCACATGCATGGACATAGATTCTATATCATTTTCATGGCCCAAATCGTTGACATCCTCATCCACAAAAGGTTTACGAACAGACAGAGATTTGTTGAAACCCCTAATAGGTATAAACGTGTTTGGTCAACATGTGCTTGTCCAAAAAGGAACGGGCACGAAGAAAACAACGGTCACAAACATCTTGCATACACTGTGTGTTATGAGTCTTGCTGCCAATCCTTTAAAGAAATTACATGACTGAAATAATCTGTGGAGTCGTCTAGTTCGTTAGCATTGTAGAAATGGCACGTGGTAAGTTTCGTTTCATAGCGGATCTTGTGGACATAGTTACTTGCCATGAGAAATTTACGTTGAAACTTGTGCTCAACGTGTTTTCTTTTTTTTTTTTAATGTGAATTTCACAAATTTTTAAAACATGATTATCTTGATTCGAAGGAATGAGTTTGTATAATGTGAGCTCGTGGATTAAGCTATTTTTTTCTCTACATATGAATCTACTTGCTTCTTTTGCCCATTTCTGGTAGTCTAGGGTATAAATTTGTTCACAGCCGATTGATTTGGGACATCTTAAAGGGAGTGAAGTGAACTGTGGGTAGGTCCTTTGCTCATG